AAACAAGGTTGTCCACTATCGGCATATCTATTTATTATGGCCATCCAAATGTTAGCTATTAAAATCAGATCCAACAATAATGTCAAGGAATTAGAAATCCAGGGTTTAAAAACAAAGGTGTCATTGTATGCTGATGATTCATGTTTTCTTTTAAATCCACAACTTGAATCCCTCCACAGCCTCATAGAGGATCTAGATTCATTTTCTAACCTCTCTCTTATAATCTTTGTAAATTATATCATAGGTAGGACTGGTGGTTATGCTCTACCCAAAATTACAACCAAATAATTGCAGCATTACCACAAAAATTGAAAAGGAAAGTGGAAGGGGGAAAGGTAAGGAACTTGTCTGTAGGACCTGCATTAAATACCATAATTGGTTAAAGAAAATTGTGATAAATAAAAAAGTATACCAGTTTCATTTAAAGACCAAAGGATTGACAGCCATCCCATATAGATTCCAAAATAGTTGGGAAGATTGTTTTGACTTACTGATTCCATGGCATAGTGTTTATGAACTGACACGCAAAACAACACCAGATACAAAACTTAGAATTTTTCCATTTGTATTATTATACAGAATTCTTGCTACCAATAGAATGTTATTCATATGGGGGATACAATCTTCCCAGCTCTGCAGATTTTGCTGCGAAGAGACAGAATCATTAGATCATTTGTTTTGGTTCTGTCCATTTGTAGCTGGTTTTTGGTCACAGGTCCAGGAATGGCTGAAGGATTGCAATATTTACCTGGAGCTAACCCTGCAGATAGCACTACTGGGTGATCTGAAAAGTCATAGTCAATCGATCAATAATATAATAATACTTTTAGCAAAATGTTTATTTTCAATTTACAATCTGTAGAAACAATGAGAATAGAAGGGTTCAGAACTTTTGTGAAACATCACAGTACAGTTGAAAAATATATGGCAAATAGAAATCCAAATTGGATGGTGTTAAGAGATAGATGGGAGGTGTTGAATGGAGCTGAAGGATGGGACTAATAACATCAAACATCAACTAATTACAACAAGATAACTAATGTAAAGCATACTGTGTCCATAATAAGTATATTGGTTATAGGTTGAGAGTGTTTGTGAAAGAGCACAGTTAGAAAGATATGGCATATAGAAGCAAACCGGGTGGACATCTTGAAAATGATCGGAGAAGTTGAGGGTAGAGGAAGTTCAGGAGTAAAAACAAACAAAATAGAATTCTTGTAAAATTGACTGTGTCCATAAAATGTATATAGTATGTATAAGCTGGAAGTAAAGGCCTAAGCGTTACTCCAATTAGGGGAGGGGTGGTGGTGTTGGAAAATAATAAAGGGAGAAAAAAAATTATTTAAAGGAGGGAAAAAAGTATTTGATCCCCTGCTGATTTTGTACGTTTTCCCACTGTCAAAGAAATTATCAGTCTATAATTTTAATGGTATGTTTATGTGAACAGTGAGAGACAGAATAACAACAAAAAAATCCAGAAAAACGCATCAAACATTTTATAAATGGATTTGCATTTTAATGAGGGAAATAAGTATTTGACCCCTCTGCAAAACATGACTTAGTACTTGGTGGCAAAACTCTTGTTGGCAATCACAGAGGTCAGATGTTTCTTGTAGTTGGCCACCAGGTTTGCACACATCTCAGGAGGGATTTTGTCCCACTCCTCTTTGCAGATCTTCTCCAAGTCATTAAGGTTTCGAGCCTGACGTTTGGCAACTCGAACCTTCACCTCCCTCCACATATTTTCTATGGGATTAAGGTCTGGAGACTGGCTAGGCCACTCCAGGACCTTAATGTGCTTCTTCTTGAGCCTCTCCTTTGTTGCCTTGGCCGTGTGTTTTGGATCATTGTCATGCTGGAATACCCATCCACAACCCATTTTCAATGCCCTGGCTGAGGGAAGGAGGTTCTCACCCAAGATTTGACGGTACATGGCCCCGTCCATCATCCCTTTGATGCGGTGAAGTTGTCCTGTCCCCTTAGCAGAAAAACACCCCCAAAGCATAATGTTTCCACCTCCATGTTTGACAGTGGGGATGGTGTTCTTGGGGTCATAGGCAGCATTCCTCATCCTCCAAACACGGCGAGTTGAGTTGATGCCAAAGAGCTCGATTTTGGTCTCATCTGACCACAACACTTTCACCCAGTTCACCTCTGAATCATTCAGATGTTCATTGGCAAACTTCAGACGGGCCTGTATATGTGCTTTCTTGAGCAGGGTGACCTTGCGGGCGCTGCAATATTTCAGTCCTTCACGGCATAGTGTGTTACCAATTGTTTTCTTGGTGACTATGGTCCCAGCTGCCTTGAGATCATTGACAAGATCCTCCCGTGTAGTTCTGGGCTGATTCCTCACCATTCTCATGATCATTGCAACTCCACGAGGTGAGATCTTGGATGAAGCTCCAGGCCGAGGGAGATTGACAGTTATTTTGTGTTTCTTCCATTTACGAATAATCGCACCAACTGTTGTCACCTTCTCACCAAGCTGCTTGGCGATGGTCTTGTAGCCCATTCCAGCCTTGTGTAGGTCTACAATCTTGTCCCTGACATCCTTGGAGAGCTCTTTGGTCTTGGCCATGGTGGAGAGTTTGGAATCTGATTGATTGATTGCTTCTGTGGACAGGTGTCTTTTATACAGGTAACAAGCTGAGATTAGGAGCATTCCCTTTAAGAGTGTTCTCCTAATCTCAGCTCGTTACCTGTACAAAAGACACCTGGGAACCAGAAATCTTTCTGATTGAGAGGGGGTCAAATACTTATTTCCCTCATTAAAATGCTAATCAATTTATAACATTTTTGACATGCGTTTTTCTGGATTTTTTTGTTGTTATTCTGTCTCTCACTGTTCAAATAAACCTACCATTAAAATTATAGACTGATCATTTCTTTCTCAGTGGGCAAACGTACAAAATCAGCAGGGGATCAAATACTTTTTTCCCTCACTGTATATGTATTTATCAGTATGTATGTGTATGTGTATGTATGTATATGTGTGTGTGTGTGTGTGTGTATATATACACATATATTTATATATATATATATATATATATTTGCGAAATAGAAACATATGGGGGATTGGATGTGATGCGGACAATTACAGTGATGGAAGTTACAATCTATCTGCAATATTAAAACTGATCTAACCCCTTTTTTTTTAAGACAAAAAAAGACAACCATCTCTACAGCACTCCACCAATCACGCCTTTATGGTAGAGTGGCCAGACAGCCCACTTGGAGTTTGCCAAAAGGCACCTAAAGGACTCTCAGACCATGAGAAACAAGATTATCTGGTCTGATGAAACCGATTAAACGTGCCAAGCGTCACGTCTGGAGGAAACCTGGCACCATCCCAAGGGTGAAGCATGGTGGCAGCATCATGCTGTGGGGATGTTTTTCAATGGCAGGTAATGGGAGACTAGTCAGGATCGAGGGAAAGATTAACGGAGTGAAGTACAGAGAGATCCTTGATGAAAACCTGCTCCAGAGCGCTCAGGACCTCAGACTGGGGGCAAAGGTTCATCTACCAACAGGACAACGACCCTAAGCACACAGCCAAGACAATGCAGGAGTGGCTTCGGGAGAAGTCCCTAAATGTCGTAGAGTGGCCAAGTCAGAGCCCGGACTTGAACCCGATCAAACATCTCTGGAGATACCTAAAAATAGATGTGCAGCGACGCTCCCCATCCAACCTGACAGAGCTTGAGAGGATCTGCAGAGAAGAATGGGAGAAACTCCCCAAATACAGGTCTTACCCAAGGTCATACCCAAGAAGACTCGAGGCTGTAATCGTTGCCAAAGGTGCTTCAACAAAGTACTGAGTAAAGGGTCAGAAAACATATGTAAATGTAATATTTCCATTTTTTTTATTTTTTATACATTTGCAAAACAAATCCTGCCAAATTAAAGATAATCAGGAACACAACGTATAATGAGAGGCGTGATGATTCACAAGATCACAGTGTTTAAAACAGTTCACATAATGACTCAGTAAGACAGACAGGATAGACCTGATCCCCATACAGTATACCTTATGGTACATTAGACATAGCAACAGGAACACAGGCTACAGTAAAGTTACTCATGTTCTGTAGCTAACTATGGTTCCATATAGTAAGTACTCCCTTATGTCCAATTTCACTAAATATGGCTTCCTACAATACAGGTGATAAAGCATCAGTCTGCCTCTGAAGTTATTTTTTTAATGTTTTATAATTAGCTAGAGTTCTGCCTTTTGTTCTTTCCATCTGTCTTTTTATCATGGTCTTACACAATGTTTTTACGTGACACCGATGTCTTGTGCTTATTATCTGAATTGGGGAAGAATATAGAATTAGATAAGAAACCTCTATAAAATGTATAGACTTTATTTATCACCTTTCATAGAAAACATAGTAGCCAAAAGTGCTTCTGAAATGAGCACTTACTGAACAATGTAAAATGACACGCAAGATACAGAATAATACATATAAATATTACAGTGTGCATCTTTCACCTACATCGCTTTAATTAGCCAGTAGTGCTGACTGTTGGATTGATGGCTACCATTTCTTACATGATGCAACAAAATGGCGTGGATTAAATCTTCACTTTGATCCTTTTTGTAGGCAGAGACCCAGACCAGACTAACAATTTAAAAAATGTTTTATATTCTTATATTATGCTTGCTGAGTCAACTAGAATGAAAACAAATAGTGAAAATTTGGAAAAACAAATTTGACACATTTGAATATGACATAAAGAAGCATACAAAAGAAAACCTTTCAAAGCAATTCAATTTGAGGACTACACATATAGGGGATTACTTAATTTAACTTGTAAGGCAAACAAACTAAATATGATACATCAAATGATGTTATAATTGTGAAAAAATAACAAATGCCTTATTATATTATCTAGGGCTTAAACACACTGTCGGCCTTATAAGCCTCAAGACGAAACTGTTTCAATCTGTTCATCAAGGTTCTTCTTGCCCTTAATTTAGTACTATTCAATTCACGTTCATTTCTGGGACTTTCTGTGTTCCAGAGTAATTTGCTGAGGCTCTCCACCTCAGCACAATTACCATAGATGTTGTTGCCAGTCGGAGGACCTGCGTGCTTGAGATTTAAGAGCTTACAGCAGGCTTTACAAGGTGGCTTTTCTGTATGGATGCTATCCACACTAAAAGCTCTGCATCTGACTGTTTCACATTTTACAGGTTCTCTTTTCATAACAGCAAGTGACACATAAGGGTGCCATGTGTGTAGACAAGATGAGGCAATCAGGAGTTTTCGTGCCACTAACCCAGTGCTGGACAAAGATGCCCCATAATAATAGCCCCTCTCTCGATCTTGGTCTTCAATGTAGTTGGAGACGCATATTGTTGACGCGATCAATTTGTAATCACCATCCAAACCCAATTCTGTGATGAGATTGGACAGATGGTCTTTGATATCCCCTTCATCTTCATTCAGGGTGACAACCTGCAAACATATGACAATCAAAATTAAAATACTCTCTTTAGTTGCTTTGACCAGTTCTAATGTGTAGTACATTAAAGTATAAGAAGTCACTGCTCTTGGTTGAAGTATTCCATATGGTATGGAACCAATTTTCAAACAGAGCTAAACAAATCCCTGTTGTAAAGAGCACATGAGAAATAAGCATATTTATTTTACCTGTATTTTACCAAGTCAGTTAAATGAGAACTCATTCTCATCTACAGCAATAATCTGGGGAATAGTTGAGAAAGATTGAATGAGCCAATGTCAGGAATTGGGGTAGTTCAGTGTTAAGCCATAGCAAAACAGAACACTACCGCAGAGTTCAAAGCTTAATACATTGCCGACTCCTGCCAGATCTCACAACGCCTGGATAGGTATTTAACATATCAGCTAACCACGTCATATAGTAAATGAATCTGATGCCCCACTGCACAATCGATAAGGTGACACAGCCATTGGTTGATGCGATGTCTGCAATATAGAGCACAACCTACTACTTCCACACCCCATCCCTAGGGTTTTTTATTTATTTATTTTTAAGTCATTTAGCAGACACTTACAGTTAGTGAGTGCATAGATAATTTTTTTAATTTTTCATACCCCCTGTGGGAAACGAACCCACAACCCTGGCGTTGCAAACACCATGCTCTACCAACTGAGCTACATCCCTGCCGGCCATTCCCTCCCCTACCCTCGACAACGCTGGGCCAATCGTGCGCCGCCCCATGGGTCTCCCAGTCACAGCCGGCTACGACAGAGCCTGGATTCGAACCAGGATCTCTAGTGGCACAGCTAGCACTGCGATGCAGTGCCTTAGACCACTGCGCCACTCGGGAGGTGGCAGCAGCAACTGGTTCAGGTTCTGGGTTCTGCTATTGAGGCCTGATAAGCAAGTGATTGCTCTCAGTTGCGAGCCTTGTCACATTTTATGTGTGTAAATACTTCTGTTTGAGCATGCCTTTGTGTTTCCTTTTTGTTTATATCATTATCACCACCACTTTGGACTCTAAACTGCTTGGGCTGGCTGACTAAGAGAGTCAAGACCGAGCTATCCGTGGACCCAGTAAGTTTGCTGTCTCCTAGACACATGCATCCAACACCTAGGGCCTCATTTATCAAAAGTGTATATGCACAAAAAACACTGTAAACCTTGCGTGCGCCAGTTTTCCAGCAATGGTTCGTATCTCCACTCAAATCTCAGACCATGAGTATGCACAACTTCTAGTGGTTGATGAACTGTATTGCAAGTAAATATTGTTCTTTTGGGGGAAATTGAGGTGTTTGATGCACAGGAATTACAATAATGGTAGGCTAATAAAAACATTATAACATAGGACTAATGATAAAAAAAGATGCATTTGCCATTGGTAAGGAGATCATATAGCAGCATGTCACCTAATATCTTGATTTTACATTTATTATATAGGCCTAGATCATAATCATATTGCATGTCTCTCCTTTTCTGACATGACTGGTTTATTAACGCTACACAACAAATTTTAGGCTACGATTGATCAATTGCTCATTCAATAGCCATGCTCGAAAGTAAATAGACCGGTAGCCTATTTTAAATATTTGACTGTATGAGTAGTTTACAGTATTGCTGTGCAATATGAACGTGACTTCATAGCTATTCAATCTCAGAGCCTATACCAAGGCAGGAGATAGAAACACAATCATGTATTGATAAACAAAATATTGAACAACAATTCATATTTTAAATAGAAGTGTGGGCTGTAGGCAGCATTTACTTTTAAATTGTTCAATAGACAATCAATCTTGAAGAATGCACGGCCAGTGTTTGGCACTTGCGGCATGCATTTTCTGTTTAAAGTCACTGCAAAACATTTACGCATTCTGCCCACACCACTACATAAATGTGATCAGCTTTGCCATTGCGCTTTCTACAGCATATGAGGCAGTTTTTGTTGACATAAAAGGTGAATGGAGGGTGTTTTCCCAGGCTGGGTTGTAACACTCATTCACAAGCGCAGCAATATAGTATGGCTCTGATTTATCAATGAAGACATGCATATACTGTATGTTGTTCGTGACAGTTTGATGAATCCCAATAATTTGTTGCTCAAGCAAATCCTAGAATGTCCACGTAAACCCAGAATTTAATGAGAGATTTACGCACGGTTCATAAATGAGGCCCCTGGTTCGCATATGCATCAGGGTTGGGCTCAATGCAGAAATTAATTGAGAATGCCTCAAATTCCAATTTAATTCTTAAATTTGAATTGAATTTGAATTTAAGTAGTAAACAGGATACAGAATTGCATTTCAAATTTGAATGAAAGGAAATAGAATTGATTTCAGTGAAATTCAAATGCCTCTTCTATTCTATCTTAGGTGTAGTCTATATAAATATACATATTGTACATAAAACATACAACATATATTTATATACATGCATATACAATATTGATGAAAATATAGATTTTCAGTACAAACTCTTAAAATGAATGATCATGGAAAACAAAACCTGTATGCGAATATACTAAGTTAATATATTTAATTAATTAACATTTTGTTAAATACGGGGAAGATACCACATTTACCATAATGCATTAGTTTGACCCTCAAGTTGACCCGGAGGCCTTAAAAAAGAACAAACAAATTAAATGGTTGGTGGAAATATGGCTATTCTAAGCACTAAGATTAAAAGAGTATATCAACATTGTTTCCAGAGAAAAGTGATATATTCTTTGGTATCTGGAAGTGTGACCTGTCAGATTCAATTAAACTCTCGGTAGCACTTTATTTGGATAGTCCATCTGTAGATCCTCTACAGACTATCAGTAACATTTCATCTAACTATCTACTAACCCTATCCCTAACCTTAACCCTTATCCTGACCCTAAACGTCTTACCTGAACCTTAACCTTAACCTTAACCCTTACCCTAAACCAAACTCTAACCTTAGCAAGCAGTTGCTTATCAACAGATTGTTTGTTCATAGTATGACCATCTGTAGAGCATATACAGATGGACTATCCAAATAAACTCTCATGTTCTATGACTGAGTGGAATTTCCTTTGAATTGCACTGAATTAAATTCTGCTTCCTGTCATTCAAACTCAAATTCAAATTCTACATCTGGTGGGGTGTGGCTAATTTAATTAGAATTTCAACTCATGAGTTGAATGGGAGTCAGTTCCAAACTTCTGAATTGAGCCCAACCCTGATATGCTTGCTTCTTATGTTAATGCACACATTCAGACAGACTGGATAGGTGGTTTCGTAACACAATTGGAAGCTGGGATGATTAGGTGGTCATGATGGTATAACTCGTTTAGGAATTTAACCAGAACACCAGGGTTAAAACGTATATTATTGTGATAGGTGTCAGGACATCTTTAGTGACAACAGAGTCGGGGACATTTGGGTCTCCATTACACCAGCAAAAAGAGTGCCCCCTACTGGCCCTCCAGCAGGGATCGACCAGGCCCAACCCTGCCTATCTTCAGAGACAAGCCAGCAATGAGATGCAGGGTGGTAGGTCTGCTGGAAGTGTAAGTCCCTTTATTTCGTTTTTAAGAACCTTTAGTTAAGAAACACTAACCATATCTAGTAGACAGGAGAAGGGTGTCCGGCGAGGCAGTTCCGTGCTGTAACTCTCCAGTGGTTTCGGAAACTTTGTCTTCACGATCTTCAGCACATTCTCTCCCAAGATAATTTCCGGAGGGCATGTTGGTACATGTATGTTACCTAGGAAAAAGATGCTATGAAGCATCTTGAAAACATGAAGTTAAAGCCAGCCTGTAAGATTTCCTGTAATTTAATTAATTAATTAATTAATTAATTATGACCGTTAATTTGTATGAATATGACTAAATGCCTTAAAGCTCCAGTCTGGGATTGGTACATCCATTTTTGTGATTGTAGTTTTTTATTGCCATTGATTATTGAAATGTCTCATGAGATTAGTTTAACTGTTTTACTCCAGCAGAACCAAAAATATAAGCTGGTTTTGTATTGTTTGTAAACAATGTAATTGTTCACACCGAAAACGTCTAAAAACTACTTTTGGTTTTCTTGAACTAAACCTCGTTAGCGTAATGCTAGCAGGTACCTATAGACTTCCAGTCATTGTGCTATCACTAGTTAGAATTGACTCGCAAAACTACATTTAACTCTCTTCATACTGGACATAGAGACATACAATTGGTACCCACAAGTTAATCTGACTCTGGGGAAGAAGATAAAGGGTTGCCTGATTGCCAAAATCCCAAAGTATCCCATTAAGTGTACATTTTTGTTAACTGTCATTTCGTTTGTTATATTCCAACACTCTCTCCATCTTGTGCCAATACCAGTTATTCTTAGGTCTTGCTTCCAATAGTTTATATTATTTTCAAGGAGATTGTCAGTTGGATAGACTTTCTGCAAGGTTTTGTATATCTTACCTATCATATGAGTATCCTTTTCTGACTTCAATAGAATTCCCTCAACATTGTTCTGATGTCCAAAAGATTTCAGATTGAAATTTCTTGTATTTGAAAATGTCTTCATTGGTCAGTCCAAAATTGCTTTTTAATTCTGTCATGGAAATAATTGTATTTCCTGTTACCAAGTCATTTACAGTTTCTATGCCTTTAGTTTGTTGGCCAATTTATCAGTGAATTCTGAAAAGCTATCCAAGGATTGTTCCATAGGGGTGTTATTTTAGGGAGTGATATTGTTTCTTGTAGAATCCGTTATTTTTCCCCCCATGTTGTTATAGTGTTCTTCAGTATAAAGTTTTTAATGTTCTTAGCATCCTTCAAAAACAAACTTGTGAAAATATTATAGGGATGAGCATGCGCATATTCAATACAGTGGGGGGAAAAAGTATTTAGTCAGCCACCAATTGTGCAAGTTCTCCCACTTAAAAAGATGAGAGAGGCCTGTAATTTTCATCATAGGTACACGTCAAATATGACGGACAAAATGAGGAAAAAAAATCCAGAAAATCACATTGTAGGATTTTTAATGAATTTATTTGCAAATTATGGTGGAAAATAAGTATTTGATCAATAACAAAAGTTTCTCAATACTTTGTTATATACCCTTTGTTGGCAATGACACAGGTCCAACGTTTTCTGTAAGTCTTCACAAGGTTTTCACACTCTGTTGCTGGTATTTTGGCCCATTCCTCCATGCAGATCTCCTCTAGAGCAGTGATGTTTTGGGGCTGTCGCTGGGCAACACGGACTTTCAACTCCCTCCAAAGATTTTCTATGGGGTTGAGATCTGGAGACTGGCTAGGCCACTCCAGGACCTTGAAATGCTTCTTACGAAGCCACTCCTTCGTTGCCATTGTCATGCTGAAAGACCCAGCCACGTTTCATCTTCAATGCCCTTGCTGATGGAAGGAGGTTTTCACTCAAAATCTCACGATACATGGCCCCATTCATTCTTTCTGATCAGTCGTCCTGGTCCCTTTGCAGAAAAATAGCCCCAAAGCATGATGTTTCCACCCCCATGCTTCACAGTAGGTATGGTGTTCTTTGGATGCAACTCTGCATTCTTTGTCCTCCAAACACGACGAGTTGAGTTTTTACCAAAAAGTAATATTTTGGTTTCATCTGACCATATGACATTCTCCCAATCCTCTTCTGGATCATCCAAATGCACTCTAGCAAACTTCAGACGGGCCTGGACATGTACTGGTTTAAGCAGGGGGACACGTCTGGCACTGCAGAATTTGAGTCCCTGGTGGCGTAGTGTGTTACTGATGGTAGGCTTTGTTACTTTGGTCCCAGCTCTCTGCAGGTCATTCACTAGGTCCCCCTGTGTGGTTCTGGGATTTTTTCTCACCGTTCTTGTGATCATTTTGACCCCACGGGGTGAGATCTTGCGTGGAGCCCCAGATCGAGGGAGATTATCAGTGGTCTTGTATGTCTTCCATTTCCTAATAATTGCTCCCACAGTTGATTTCTTCAAACCAAGCTGCTTACCTATTGCAGATTCAGTCTTCCCAGCCTGGTGCAGGTCTACAATTTTGTTTCTGGTGTCTTTTGACAGCTCTTTGGTCTTGGCCATAGTGGAGTTTGGAGTGTGACTGTTTGAGGTTGTGGACAGGTGTCTTTTATACTGATAACAAGTTCAAACAGGTGCCATTAATACAGGTAACGAGTGGAGGACAGAGGAGCCTCTTAAAGAAGAAGTTACAGGTCTGTGAGAGCCAGAAATCTTGCTTATTTGTAGGTGACCAAATACTTATTTTCCACCATAATTTGCAAATAAATTCATAAAAAATCCTACAATGTGATTTTCCTGATTTTTTTTTCCTCAATTTGTCTGTCATAGTTGACGTGTACCTATGATGAAAATTACAGGCCTCTCTCATCTTTTTAAGTGGGAGAACTTGCACAATTGGTGGCTGACTAAATACTTTTTTCCCCCACTGTATGTACCCACTGTTTCTCTTTAGTGCATTTAACAATATGTCGCAAGTAAAAAAAAAAAGCCTTGGGTGGTGAGTTGATACAATTCCAAGTCTGGAAGGTTAAAACCACCCTCAGACTTAGGGACATGTTAAACTTGACTATTTATTCTATTAGTTTTATTTGCCAATATAAAGTTGGTTATGGTCGAGTATCATTTTTAAAAGAATGTCTTCGGTGGGGTAATCGGTATTACCGAAAATAAATATAAAAACTTTGGGAGCCATACCATTTTAAAGAGGCTTATTCTACTGTACCTGTAAGATTTATGGGAAGATTGACGCCATTTAATTATATCTGATTTCATGTTGTTGAGTAATGGGATAAAGTTATCTTTATATGTTCGTTTTTTGTTGTCACTTATTAAGCATCCTACGTATTAAATATTTGTTGTGGTCCATTTAAAGGATTACTTTAGATCATGAGTTATTCTTTTTCCTATTGCCATTATTTCAGTTTTTTCTGAAAACATTTTTAACAAGGGGGGCATTGAGTTTTCAATATTAGTCAGGTATATCAAGAGATTGTTGGCAAATAAGTTTAGTTTATATTCATGTTTACAAATAATGATACCCGTTATATTTGGGTCCTGTCTTATTCTTTCTGCTAGCAGTTCAATTGCCTTTGCAAACAGGAGGGGGGAGAGAAGGCATCCCTGTCTTGTGCCCCTTTCTAAAGCAATTTCATCAGATAATGTATATTTTTGCTTTAGGATATACAGTACCAGTCAAAGGTTTGGGCACACCTACTCATTCCAGGGTTTTTCTTTATTTGTACTATTTTCTACATTGTAGAATAATAGTGAAGACATCAAAACTATGAAATAAAACATATGGAATCATGTTGTAACCAAAAAAGTGTTAAACAAATCAAAATATATTTTATATTTGAGATTCTTCAAAGTAGCCACCCTTTGCCTTGATGACAGCTTTGCACACTCTTGGTATTCTCTCAATCAGCTTCATGAGGTAGTCACCTGGAATGCATTTCAATTAACAAGTGTGCCTCGTTAAAAGTTAATTTGTGGAATTTCTTTCCTTCTTAATGCGTTTGAGCAAATCAGTTGTTTTATGACAAGGTAGGGGTGGTATACAGAAGATAGCCCTATTTGGTAAAAGACCAAGTCCATATTATAGCAAGAACATCTCAAATAAGCAAAGAGAAATTACAGTCCATCATTACTTTAAGACATGAAAGTCAGTAAATCTGGAAAATGTAAAGAACTTTGAAGTGCAGTCGCAAAAACTATCAAACGCTATGATGAAACTGGCTCTCATGAGGACCACCACAGGAAAGGAAGACCCAGAGTTACCTCTGCTGCAGAGGATAAGTTCATTTGAGTTACCAGCCTCAGAAATTGCAGCCCAAATAAATGCTTCACAGAGTTCAAGTAACAGACCCATCTCAACATCAACTGTTCAGAGGAGACTGCGTGAATCAGGCCTTCATGGTAAAATTGCTGCAAAGAAACCACTACTAAAGGACACCAATAAGAAGCAGAGACTTTCTTGGGCAGAGAAACATGAGAAATCTGTCCTTTGTTCTGATTAGTCCAAATTTGAGATTTTTGGTTCCAACTGCCTTGTCTTTGTGAGACGCAGAGTAGGTGAACGGATTATCAACGCATGAGTGGTTCCCACCGTGAAGCATGGAGGAGGAGGTGTGATGGTGTGGGGTTGCTTTGCTGGTGTCACTGTCAGTGATTTATTTAGAATTCAAGGCACACTTAACCAGCACGGCTACCACAGCATTCTGCAGCGATAAGCCATCCCATCTGGTTTGCGCTTAGTGGGACTATATATCATTTGTTTTTCAACAGGATAATGACCCAACACACCTCCAGGCTGTGTAAGGGCTAATTGACCAAGAAGGAGAGTGATGGAGTGCTGCATCAGATGACCTGGCCTCCACAATCACCCGACCTCAACCCAATTAAGATGGTTTGGGATGAGTTGGACCACAGAGTGAAGGAAAAGCAGCCAACAAGTGCTCAGCATATGTGGGAACTCCTTCAAGACTGTTGGAAAAGCATTCCAGGTGAAGCTGGTTGAGAGAATGCCAAGAGTGTGCAATGCTGTCATCAAGGCAAAGGGTGGCTACTTTGAAGAATCTCAAATATAAAATATATTTTGATTTGTTTAACACTTTTTTGGTTACAACATGATTCCATATGTTTTATTTCATAGTTTTGATGTCTTCACTATTATTCTACAATGTAGAAAATAGTAAAAATAAAGAAAAACCCTTGAATGAGTTGGTTTACAAACTTTTGACTGGTACGGTATTATTTTTATGAAATGTATTA